GATTTTGATGTGGGTTTTATTTTAATTTATGTAAAATTCGCAGTTCTGACACTTTGCCTATGTTAATTATAGGAGGGCATTGTAATGGATCCCATGACATACAGCGATAAGCGTTCTCGTCAACTGCTTGAGGAACGTCTTGAGAGTATTATCAGCGCTGCTGCCCTGATGGCCGACGCAGACTGTACAAGGGACGAGCGCAGGGAGAGAATTGTTGCCGAATGCAATGCTGTCCGTCAGGCTCTACAAGATCTCCTGTCTGAGTACATGTCAAACGTAAATTATTTTCAAGCCATACGGCAAATATAGAAATAACCTTAATACTTAACATTCACATATCTTCAGATGGGTCAAAAAGACAACAGCCCCGGTCTGGACCGTGCAATTGATCAAATGTGTCGTAAAACGAGAGATTTGCGTAGACAGTTGCGTAAAGCTGTTGTTGATCATGTGTCGGATTCATTTTTAGAGACAACAACGCCTTTAATTGATTTAATTGAAGCCGCTAAATCTGGTAATGAAAAACTAGTGCGGGAAAAGGCCGAGATTTTTACGAAACATGCTGAGAAATTAGTTGAAGTTGCGAATCTCGTGTGCAGCATGTCGAATAATGAAGACGGCGTAAAGATGGTTCGATATGCGGCTGCCCAAATCGAAAGTCTATGCCCCCAAGTAATAAATGCAGCATCAATACTCACGGTTCGACCCAACTCAAAGGTTGCCCAAGAGAACATGGCCGCCTATCGGCAGGCATGGGAGGTGCAAGTTCGAATTTTAACAGAAGCTGTGGATGACATTACAACCATAGACGACTTCTTGGCTGTTTCCGAAAATCATATTCTTGAAGACGTAAACAAATGCGTTATGGCACTGCAAGTTGGTGATGCTAAAGATCTACGCGGAACGGCTGGATCTATTCAAGGCCGTTCGTCACGCGTGTGCAATGTTGTTGAGGCTGAGATGGACAACTACGAACCATGTATTTATACAAAGCGAGTTCTGGAAGCAGTTAAAGTTCTACGCGAACAAGGTTTGTATATATAATCAACTATAAAATCGTTAAAAGCTTAGACTACAGAGGTAAATTAGCTGTATCACTAATCATACAATGCATTAACTCAAATCAACTTAATTTTTGCTCGGGTCCCCTAATTTACGAAAATACGGGACTCCAAAGTATGTGCGCTTCGAGAGCTCAATCGAAATGGTCGACTCTTGAACATAATTTGCCTTGCTTACTCCACTCTTTACTCTCAAATATGTGCACTCTGCAGTGAATAAATATTTTAATTTCTTTGCCAAGTCATCATATATCTTTCCTTTAGAGAGAAGAGTATACCAATATTATGAAAGGCTTACCATGTTAACTAATAGAAAACAAACAAACATTAGAATAGTCAAAAGCATAATAATAAATATAGTAGTATAATAATGAATTAATGCTAAGTTGAATCTGAACTGCAAATTCAATAGCTACACTGGTTGTCACTCATGTAATCTTTACTTAAAATAATATAAACTAAATATCATCTTTCTTTTTATTTTTCAGTTATGATTAAGTTTGAACAGCGAGTGGATGCTGCAGTCGAGGCTCTCTCGGCAAATACTAACAAGAATGTGGATGAGAATGACTTTATCGATGCTTCCCGTTTGGTATACGATGGCGTTCGTGAAATCCGACGTGCAGTGTTAATGAACCGAGTAAGATTACATAAATAGGAACTTTACGTATATGTAAAAATATGCGGCCTCCCACTGTATATTTATAATTCATTAATATGTGGCATAAAATACATTTAAATCTTAATTCATCAAATTATTGAAGCTCTAGAAACGTTTCCATGAATTACACTTATGAGCATATGTGATCCTATTTTACTTGTAATTGTAAAGTAAAATAGTATCACGAATGTAATGGAAAAGTTAAAGTATAGAGCCAAAAATTTCTATTTCCTGTGTTAATTATTGCTCAAAAATTACTTCTTCATTTTGTTTAATGACTATACTGTCCCATTTCCCTTACTATTCAATAATTTATTTCGCTTTTCATATGTATTTTCTCTTAACTAGGTTAAATGTTTGCACGTATATTTTTTTACCGTATTTTAATGTTAACTTTTATTTTTGTATTTCAGAGCTCTGACGATCTAGATACTGACACAGAATTTGAGCCCGTTGAAGACTTGACATTGGAAACTCGTAGTCGATGTAAGCATAAATTTACTCTATTCAAATACTAAAAAAAAGAAAGTTTTGACTTTTGTAATGGAGTGAATTCGCTTTTGCATATATGACATAATGTTATTTCAGTTTAAACTCATTTTTGATTTGTTTACGAATACTAATTGGATAAAATTTCATTTGCAGCGAGCGCTCATACTGGGGATCAAACTGTTGACGAATATCCGGACATTAGTGGAATTTGTACTGCTAGAGTAAGAGAATCAGTAATTGCAGACAATATTGGATTTTAATGTTATTTAATTTTAATTAGGAAGCGATGCGTAAGATGACGGAAGAGGATAAGCAAAAAATTGCCCAACAAGTTGAGCTGTTTCGCCGTGAAAAACTTACTTTCGATTCAGAGGTTGCCAAGTGGGATGACACTGGCAACGACATCATTTTCTTGGCAAAACATATGTGTATGATAATGATGGAAATGACGGACTTCACAAGGTAATTTGCGAGTTTAGCATTTGAGCGTCTGTTGTCTATGCCGACCTACATATATTGTACATATGTATCACTTTTAAAATTTTTTGACCAGCGAAACGAAGGATAGTTTAGATATGTATTCTCTTATAGAGCACGCAGTATGTATCTATGCTATACCAAACAATAAGTAATTTCTAGACCACTAAAAACTTCAGCGAGTGATCGAGTGACTTTCTCAACAATATAGCTGAACTTCCTTGAGTTGAAATAACTATTACAACTATATCATATAATATATATAACTATTATTTAAGGATATTTATACTTTATGCTTTAAAAATTCAGAAAACGAATTAGAAAAGTCTAAATGCAAATTACAGTTATATATTATAAACACTGCCCACTAAATAACTTCTATCTCTTCACTTTTATAGAGGCCGTGGCCCATTAAAGACCACCATGGATGTTATCAATGCCGCCAAAAAAATATCTGAGGCTGGTACTAAACTGGATAAGCTAACTCGTGAAATAGCAGAGCAATGCCCTGAGAGCAGCACTAAAAAAGATTTATTGGCGTACTTGCAACGCATCGCTCTCTACTGTCATCAAATCCAGATAACTTCTAAGGTCAAAGCGGATGTTCAAAATATAAGTGGCGAATTGATCGTTTCTGGGGTAAGAATACATTATTTGTTTTCTATTTTTGTATAATTATTACAGTTGTATTTTGGACATCTTCCAGCTGGATAGTGCAACTTCTTTGATCCAGGCAGCTAAGAATCTTATGAATGCTGTTGTATTGACCGTGAAATATTCTTACGTGGCGTCAACTAAATACACAAGACAAGGCACTGTTACGGTAAGTTTTTAATTTATTTTGGATATTTATAAATCAATTGAACGTATTTCTTCTCTATTCTTTTCTATAGTCTCCAATCGTCGTATGGAAAATGAAGGCTCCAGAGAAAAAACCATTGGTGCGGCCTGAGAAACCAGAAGAAGTTCGGGCTAAAGTTCGAAAGGGATCGCAGAAGAAAGTTCAAAATCCAATTCATGCTCTTTCTGAATTCCAGAGTCCCGCTGATGCTGTTTAAGGGAATTAAATCGAATATTATAATTTAAAGTATTATATACCCACTTGATACAATTTTATTATATAAATGTACTTCTAAACGGTAAAAGTTTAATGTTATCATCAAAGATATATATTTTACGATTGCCCGTAATAAATAATTATATAGAATATTTATTTATTTATTTCTGACTTATTGACTGTTTTTATAATTACTTGTGGGATTTATGGGATTTGAGATAGACCTAAGCTATGATTTTCGGTGAAACATTTTCATTTGATAAGCTTTAATATTTTTACAATTGGGGCAAGAATAATGCAAATGGTTCACTCCATATATGTATGTATGCGCTCGTATCAGTTAGCTTTCGTCTGACTGCATTTTACATTGCTTGTTTTTTTTGGTTTGAAACCCAGCTAACATTTAAATTTTAAAACCGGCGCACCCAAATCTGTTCATAATAGCGGTAAATTCATCATTAATTTAAGCTTGACGGTTCATAATTTAAGTAAATCATTCTTACAAAATAACCTACATATGTCTACAGATATCGGTTCTATTCAATATTGTGATGTAACAATGTAGTTTATAATATTTATGCAGTCAGTCAGTCAAAGGTAAAAGTAAAATTAAGTGAATTTACGTAGGTCAAAATGTACTTATGTACTTATACTGTAATAGCAAATTTGCTATTTGAACTCATTTCTTAAACCGTTTTTGTTAAATTTTTGTTTGATCGATTTTTTGGAAACTGATGAATTGTCGATAATTTGAAACTAACTAGATTTGATATTCCAATACAGACAGAGAGGTAAACTAGAATCGAAAAGGCTATGAAAATCATAAATGAAAAACTATTACACTTTGATTTTCCATTTTCACAAAAACATTCTCTATGTAAGTAATTTTTAGAAATTTAATATCTTTTAATAAAATTGGTCTAATTTTTTAATTTTATTTGTATCAACTGATCATCAAGAATTATGGGTATATGTTTCTATTTGGTCTGTTTAGTATTTATTTATTTATTTATTTTTTTTATATGAAACACAATTAAACCAAATGCACTCAAATTGAATAGTATATTTTAATTGATAAATACTAATTGCTTGATCAATATATCTTACAAGAGCGGAAAATGAGTTCGAAGCTTTTTAGACAAGGACAACGCTAGGCAGTTACGTTCATTTCCACTAATCAAGTTATAAACATAATTTTAGTGACAATTTAAGGATGAAATAAACCAGGTCATTAAAAATAACATTGAAACTAGTATAATTATTCAGTTTCATGCTTCTTGAATTACAAAACTACTACTAGTCAACGGGATATCCTCATTCCGCTCATTTCGAAAACCTTCCTTTGCATTGTTGTCACCTGAAGAAAAAAATATAACGAGAAAGATATAAGAATATCATCAAATATAAATATACATAACTCTATTTAGAGCTTAAAGAATGGACTGAGGGATTTTGTTATAATAGTGGAGTATCTGATATTAAATAAATAGAAATCAGCTTTTCCTTAATACAAATTAAACTATTTTAAGTTATATATTTATATTTATTCTATACATTAATAAGAGGCAGATTAGGTAGGGAATTGGGATATGAGATACCTAGAGCCCAATGCGCTTTTATTGAAATCCCAAAGCAAAATGTATATACATATATTCTTGATCTGGAGCAAAAAATCTAGTCGATTCAAAACCGTTCTTATACATATAAATCTAATATCGAATCCAGTTATTGCTAAAAACAAAACTGTACGAGCACTTGTTTTTTATTTAACTTCATCATTCTGTTCATATTCATATTAATACAAGGGTTAGGAAAATTCGGATTAATATATATATATAGGTATCTCTATGTAACTCACATGTGTCTGGAATGTTGCTCTCCATAGGCTCTTTATTTGATTTATTTTCATATATGCTGTCATCTAAAGCACTGTCGTCATCTATGTTACTTGAGCTTTCAATCCTCCGGAGTTCGATTTGTAAATCTTCCCTGCGTCGTTCCAATAGGTTTTCCAACTCGCATTTACTTTTAGCGAGCAGTTTCTCTGTATGTACCGTATGAAATCGAGGTTGAAAATATATGTGAGGTTTGCTCTTTGTACGAATTTGATTTTGCTGATGAATCACTGATGATTCCCAAGCTTTGAAGTCTCTGAGGCGTGCCATTTTCTTCTCTAAACATCTGATTTCGAGTTGTTTACGCTTCCTATCTAAAAATAACATATCACGCTCCTTTTGAAGCAGAGCTCTTTCTTGTTGTTCTTGATTTTCTAATTTTTTTTCAATGAGGGCTTTCTTTTCCTCGGTTTTTTTCAATCGGGACTCCTCCTGGCAGAATTTTTGTAGTGTTCCCAAAAGTGAACCAAACATGCGACGATTGCGTGCTCTCGACTCGGAATCGATTCCTTGAGCCTCAACAATTTCCTCTCTCGAGGGCAATTCTCGAATTACACGTGAATTCAGCCGAGGGGTTGGTAACCACATTTCGTCCTTGTCCGAAAGCCGATTGAATACCAATTTTCCATCGTGCGTACGCCGCTTTTGTTTTAGTGGGTCGTGACGCTGGCTGGTTTTATCTTCATTTTGCTCATTTTTCTTACTTGAGATATCTGGATTATATTTCTCTACTCTGAAAAATAAACACTCGTAATATGTATTCGTTGAGATGTTTTGAAATAAATACCTAGGTTCCTTTTGGCCCCTTCCAACAAGGCGGCGAATGTTGTCATTCAGCGAGATTAATGACTGTCTGGCCGAATTCAACTTCTTCTCCAGGTCTCCAACAGAGGATGAAGCAATATTATCTTCCATCTTAAAATAAAAAAATTATACTTGGATATATGAATTTTAGTAGCTGAGGGTGACAGCAGCTGAAACGATAGACCTATCGATATTTTAGTGCTGGCATATCTTTCGAATGTTTCTGAAAGGTATTCCCGATGAATATTTTGACATAAATAAATTGATGTATTTCCTTAGTTATTCAAATTACATTGTATAAACTTACTTGCTTCATGTGTTTTTAAAATTTGTATTGTGATTTGTATATTTGTTCTATATGAATGTTTAATATATATAAATGCTTTAATATGTATAAATGCTTTAAATGTGTATTTTCTTTAATATAATTTTCCAAATCCATATGTATTTAGACCATTAAATTCTTAAGTAGTTAAACCAATAAACATATATCATAGATATAATAGTATATCCAAATTATCTACTGTATTTAACATTAAATAAAAAAATAGTTCGTGTATGCTTTATATACGGCTTCTTAAAAATCGTTTATGGTAAATACTATTGCACGATACTTATGATTGCTTTTGTCCTATAAAATATATGTAACCTAAACTTTTCGATATATATGAACAAAACTATTAAGTAAATGAAATATATTTTATATACTATTTGTATTAAATTGTTCGGGATAAATAAAAATTATTTAAAATAAATAAGTTAAAAGAAATAATAATATATAACGTAATTGACTTTGATTATTCACGGATATATTCATTAATCTTTAGACATATATATATGTCTACATATGCATAAATTAAATCTGAATTAAGAATAACAACTGATGGATTGTAAAATGAGTATCTTCATACTCATGCCTTACCCATATCCATCGTTCCAAGTCGACGCTAGCTGTTATAATCTACACGATATAAAATGTCTAAATTGTATATTGTTATCGATTGTCTCAAAGCGCAAATCTTGTTTTGGTCATAATTATATTTGAATAAAGTATTTCTTAGTTCCGTGAATTTATATGAACTAAGTGCACATTTTATATTAGGTAGTGTTTTTTATATCATATAAACAAAATAAAGGAACAGCAATGGCTGGTTCAGATTTACTCTCGACAATTGTATTGAATGATTTAAGGGAAATCGGAATTAAACATAAAGGAAAAAAACCAAAAGTTATAAAGGTTAATATATAGAAATAAGGAATCTATAATTTCATATATAGATTCTTTCATGGCATCAAATAATGTGATGTGTATATTTGTAGCATTCGAGCGGTCAGCGGTTGTTTCATCAGGGATTGGAGCATCTAAAATTGACTGACGCATTTCTTGCAAGCGGCGCTGTGGTTCAGGTGCCTCAATTCATCACAGAAGCCTGTAGCTATATTTTGGAGAATTCTGAAACGGAGGGGATATTTCGTAAAGCTGGCTCTGCTGCAAAACAACGAGAAATTCGCGTAATATATATTTATTTCAATTATTTGCGCTCCATTTCAAAATACGTTTAATTGCAGAAATATCTTGAAGCTGGTCAACCACTGGGAAAATTATATCGTGTTATTGATGTGGCCAATATTGTTAGTTATTTTTTCAGAGAACTTCCCGAGCCGCTTATACCGGTCGAGTTGCATGAAACACTTGTGCGCTGTCTGATGATCGGTGAACCCAATCGCATTCGATCAATACAGTTGGCATGCTTGTTAATTACCCCACTAAATGTACATACTTTGGCATATTTTATGCAATTCCTGCAAACTATCACTCGACATGTGAAATACAATAAAATGAGTGCTGAAAATTTGGCAATTGTAATTGCTCCCAGCATTATGCCCTACCGTGATATAAATAGCGTCAGGTTTAAGAATCATATTAAATTAGTCGAACTGCTGATTAAGAACTCAAACATTATTGGAACGATTCCTGCTCATATTAAAGAGAAACTCAAAAACACGTCGAGCTTAGTGCAAACAAAAAAGACTGTCGGCGTCCACTGCTCAGCCATCAAAAGCAAAATGCGGAGAAGTCGTAAGTATACAAATATTTATTTGGAAACGAGACTAAATCATTTCTCTTCAATTAGATTTATTCAATGGCCTCAAAACCATGGTTGGATCGTCGAGTAATGCGACAGGGCATGCTCACTCGCCTTCAAAATCAGTTGAAAAGCCGAGAGCTTTGCATAAAGCAAAATCGCAACAGAACTGTATGATTGAGCCCATGGATACTTCCCCTAGGATATCCACTAATACAGAAGCGTTTACTAAGTCTGTAAGCGCACTCAATATAAACGAAAAGTACGTATTCATAATATATTTGCGAAAATATTTATTTTCTGAAAGAAATTAGATATTGTTATGTTATGCATTTAATGCATTAGAAGTCTTATGATCGATCATTCTGTTAATAATATTTTATATGAATATATCTGATATTTGCAGGAAGCACAGGCGCTTAACATTGAACGCGGCTGTAAATGGAGGATCCATTAAACCAAGCTCATGTCCAACAACTTTGAGTGGCACGGACCGCAGGTGGAGTCTGATTAGTACAGGATGGGCAAAGTGTAAAAAGAAAGAAAAGATGTTACATAATCTGAATAGTTCAGTTTCCGATACATTGGAAAACAAAGAGCCTGTCGGTGAAATCCAATCAAAAGTGGATCCAAGTATATCAAAAAGAGAATACGACGCAATTACTGATCGTCTAGCGACAATTAGCACAAATGTTCCACAACAAAAATTGAGCAGTGCCAAAATCCCTAACAGTAGCCAAACTCCTTTAGAACAAAACAATGACAAATCTCAACGGCAAGTTCGAAGAAGTATTACCAGAAACTATGCCAATTCGCCAATGAAACTAAGATCGTTACAGAAATCAAATACTCCCACAAACATTGTTAGGCATAAGACCTGGCATCTGAGCTCAGAAGCCAAGTTACCTAGTAAACTGCCCGTTCCTAAAATACCAGACTCAGATATAGTTATGACAGATGTTTCAAACAGAACGGCTAAGCAAGAAGAGCCCAACTGCGAACAATGGTTGCCAGCAAATATATTTTTTCAAAATTCTGCTGTAAAAGAAAATAAAGACAAATTTCGCACACAAAGTCGGGATTCAGAATTATTACAAACTCCGTATTCCCAATTCAAAAATAAGAATCGAATCCAAACTGTAACTGGTCCATTCAAGACACCAATCGGTCAGAAGAAATCGCTGGCCTTTGGCTCGGCTATTCATATGTTTGATGTGGATCAAGGGCGCGAATCTATTGCCCGCCTTCGCACTGAAAATGCTGGAATGGTTTTAGCAAAAGCAAAGTTGTTCGATGACTTTAGCAGCTGAATAGCTGATCTCTAATTATTGTTTATAATCTTTGAAATACTTCTATCAAAATTCAAAGTCAAGCATCTGCTTGAGAGTACAAAATTTTACTACAAGTCTACACCAAGCCTACATAGCAAAAGACTATCGTTATTTATAAAAATCGTTTAATACCATTATTTAAAATATTCAAAATAAACTAAGCTGTCAATAAAGCTTAAATAATATCAGAAATTCCGTATGTTCTTGAATGAACATGGAATTCTTTATGTCATTCTCAACGTAAAAAACGATCGGGAAAACACTTAAGCCTACGCCGTGGAAGACCATGGCTCTAGAGATAAGAATTTTTGCAAAGAGGTATGTTTTAGTCGTAAGAACAATTTGCCTATTTGATAAGAATTTTAAATAAAAGGGGTTGTTCATCGTAGCACCAATTCTTGTCTCTCAAATAAAGTGTACATAGTATAATCTTCGCTCTTCTATTTCGCTCTTGTATTTCGCATGAGGTAACCGTTTAAAATAAAAAATAAAATAAATAGTTTGATTATATATTTTTACTGTTTTTTTTTTTTAAATCTATATCCAAGCTTAACTAAAATGTGGTGAGTAAGCTCCAAAACTGAGGAAGACATATAGAACTGATACGTTGTTACTTGATTAATGATTTATAGTTATAGGGTTTGTCAATCGAGCTTTCTATAATAATAATGTGAATTACATACAAAGCTCATTCCTTATAGCAGCTCGACGTCTACCAATCTTGGCTATTTGCAGACTGAAAAGATTTGCTGTTGTCCGAGTAGAACTGAGAATACCATTTTCGAAATTTTTTTAGGGGTGACTCCTCCGCTACGAGCAGTGGGTTGCTGCGATACATCTTATGATTCCACAAATTCATATCCCGCTCGAACTGAAATAAATGCGAAATAATATTATCTAAGCCATTTGTCAGCGTAATTCTCTTACCATCACAGTTTCCCCGAATATTAGAAACTTCATTAAGGCAGTAATCTTTGGGTTACCATAAAATCTGTGAACTACCTTCTGTAACAAAGGCTCTACTGGAGTAACTGTTTGAAATATTTGAAAGCTTCCGATCGATGGTGAGTGCAAAGTGAGATGAACGTATGCGGGTCCAATCTGTATTAGAAATAAAATTGAACAAAATGTGACTTAAGATCTTACAGAAAATAGGAAGAATATGAGAGGTACCTGTTTTCCGATTATAGTCATTTGAAAGCATTTAAACTTTCCAAATAATTCAAACACATGGCTCATCTGTATTTCACCTATGTGCTTAGCTTCCGATGGGCTCCAACTAAAATTAGATAGTATCAATAGAATTATGCATTTAAATTCATTTCTTCATGTATACCTTGCCTGCCACTGATGATATCCGAGCCAGCTGAATATACTGTGCTTCTGATCAGAGGTACCAGTGATAATATTATCATTGTGAATTGCCCGGAAGTGTGCCAGGTCAGCTCCATTTTCCGGTATCTCCTGAATATGGCAGCGTACGTGGAACTCATTGCGACCTTGGTAAACTATTGTTTTGTTTTCCACCTCCTTTGATTCTGGAATATCCCAAGGCAATTCAGAAGCTTCTGCACTATACCATACAAATATGTATCCATGCGCTTCTTTGGAAATCCATTTCTTAATTTTTGTGGCCGGAGGTACTATTGTGTAAATTGGAGAAATGGGTTGGATTTTGTTTGTAATATATATCATAAATATGCTCACCGCAAGTGCTGTAAGGGATGCTGGTACACACTCCATCAGTTCCCCGAAATCTCCAGTGGTGAAAGGGACATTCGATATTGTCCCCAACAACTCGGCCACCAATGCCCAAATTAGCTCCCAGGTGTGGGCAATATGCGTCCACAACAAATACTTCATTTTGGAGAGTCCGAAATACGGCGAACTGTTCTCCTAGGCAGGATACATGTGTTGATTCACCGGGACTCAGATTAGAAGATTCGAGAATTCCATACCACCCGTTCGGGTAAGGCGGAGGTAACTCTTTTACCCCAATCGTTCGCGATTTTCTTAATCGATTGATTGCCGCCCTTTTTCCGTTGCTTTTTATACCTCTTCCAGTTTGATCTATATCCTTCAGTAAGGTTATAAACAAAAGAATTCGAACTTCATTTATCAATAATAAACTAATTTTTTGCATAATTGAAAAACAAATTCACTTTTGATCTACTAAAAAAGAGTGAGATATACGAAAAATCTATATAGAAGAACTATGTATAAATTACTCGGGCATGTTTCATAAAAAGCTAATAGTTTTCGATAAATCTCAAAAGGGAGACATTAATTTGATTATTAAATTTTGAAGAGTATAAGAGACGTTGATTTTTCCGATTTGTCACGCCTTAAAAGGCGTAAATGTATGTAGAGAAAATCAATTGCAATTTGTATTAATTGTTAGTTGTTAAACACTTGAAGTTTTTAGCTGCAAAACAAACCGGAGGAAAATCCACTATTTACTATCTTAGATTCTTAGTTCGAGTTTTAAGTTATATCACAAATAGTATTAGCCGATCTGCCACGCCTCTAGTGGATACACATTCGAAATATCAGTCTTTAGCTGAAACACGGATGAACATACCGACGGGCATTGCACATAACGAGTTCACTCTTTTCACAGCTTGAGGGGGTATAAAAATATAATTTTTCAGGATTTAATTAGAACATACCTTAATCCAACTGAGAGGCACAAAGGCTAACCAATACAGGAAACCACAAAGAAAGATCAGTGAAGCAATCACAATAATTGTTTTGAGGTCAATATGCGATAATATTATTAGCCACTGATCATACTTAATTATTGATTTCAAGCCATACAGAAATGATAGGAAATTATTCTTTTCGAAATCCATTATATTTGTTCTTGCTTATTTTTTATTTAGTTTTTTAACTTTTAGTGTAGAGTTAGCATCTGTGTGTGTCCCGTTGTTTGTTGTTTTGCCAAACGTTTTGAATAGAATGCTAGCCTGTTTTTAAATGAAAAACAAAATAATTCAGTTCGTATATAGATGTTGTCCGCAAAGTTGGTATGCAAGTATAATTTGAACCTAACAAATAGTATTGACAGCCATCGACTATTAGGAATACATTGGAATAAATAAAGAACCAACGTTCTTTGATGTACAGCTGCTGAGCTGATACTCTTTTTCCTATTCCGCTTTATTCGAAATTGAAGCCATGAACTCTCCTCCTATTTGACGGAGTCTCCTGCATCCCGAACAGAGCAAAAGTAATTTAAATGCAGACTGAGATATACGCAAATCTCCTACTGGGTCAGGAAGTTGAACGGGGTTTTATGAATTACTTGATTGATAGAAATAATTTTTTTTGAACTGTTACAAACATCCGCACCAAATCAATGTACAATTTCTGATCTTCTACTATCCGTAGGTACACCGTATTTAAATTCAATCGACAGATAAATTTCAAATTTTTGCGATAAAGGTAAAATAAACCGAGTCGTAGTAGTTGTCCGAATTTGGTGTTCTCGATGGTAATGAATTGAATTACTTGACTGAAACTTATGCAATGTGGTTTCCTATTGATTATAGTATGAAAGTTACTAAATTGTTGCTTATCACCTCAACCTTTATGCAGATAAGAAGTTCTTCAATGGCTTATCAGCAAACGTGTGATAAACAAACCCCAAACCTATAGTTAACAAGAAAAAACCAAAAACAAAAACACACCTGAAACAGTTTCACCGCGCTAGGGCCCAATGCAACACCACAGCCGACCCACCTGATTGACGCAAATGATACAACACGGAACTTATCGGGACCATACATAGCATTAACATGAATCAACAATGAATAATACTCGTAATCATAGCCTAATCGCCATTAGTTATAAAAAAAAAGTATAGTCGTTGTCTGCGCGGAGAAGTGGGACAAGAGACGGCTCCGTCCTTATCAAAACTAAAAATGGCACTCCAAAAAATGGCACATGGATAAACCCGCAACAGAAAATGAATTCAAAAGTTTACTAAAAGTGTAATATATTGAATTGAACTAACATAAGTGAAGTACAGCAGAAATTAATAAAAATACTGAACGTAACTGGAGTGCGTAAGGTTCTAAAAAAGGAACACAAACCAAGAATACAACACACTCACAGAAAGTGGACTTATTACAATATCCGAATTCATTAAAATTGACTACGAAACCGTCCGTGTACGACCTTGTATTCTCCTTCCCTTTCGATGTGCCTGCTCTTTGGATACCCTACCATAATCTGTAAGATGTGAAACATGCAAAAACTGCTTCTAAGGCGAACCTTGTAATCGCCTCAACTCCAACAACAACCCGGAAATCGATCAACAACATATTTCTAAAACAAAAAGGTTCCCAAAATCAGCACTAGCTATACCAGACAGAAGCAACACTTCCACATTCAACATGTCGCACAGCAACACACACCATCTCAGACCCCATACACGCACACACACAGCGCGCAGCTGAAGACAGGAAGCTCGCCATCTACGGTATGATCAGCTGAACCAGTCTTCATATCTTGAGAAAAAAAAAAAAAAAAGATTAAATAAATGAAAAAAAAACGAAAAACGAAGAATAGTTTCTTAATTTTAGTCTAGCCCCTAGCTAATAATTTGTTCTACAGGAAACAAAAACAATCCCAAGCAAGAATTAGAAATAACAAACCAATATTATTTTAATCGCAAAATCAAACCACATGCTAAATTCAAAACTAAATGCTAAATGCTATAATGAACTCGTAACTATCTTGACTATTAATAATAAAAAAATACTCAAATTCATAAAACATAATCAATTAAATAAACTAATGCATTGAAGAACTCTTAGAATAGAAACAAAAATTACCATACCAACATACATCGTTCCCAAGCACACTATCAACAACGAAATTATCCTAGGCGATTTGAACACCCCACATTACAGCTGGGGATAACTTTAGCACAGCAGAAGCGGCTGCAGATTAGTTGCAATTTTAAAACGCCAACTATCCTATACCGAGCAACGGAAAATAACCCACAAATATGACTCACTATACGTTTACCCACATGGACCTTGCGTTATGCTCCCCCAACTCTTCCTCTCACTAGAATGAAGCAATGACATGATCGAACTGTTGTAATAACACCCAGACCAAACTTAGAGCAAATCAATTCAATTCTGACAACATTTCAAACTTATCTATCGAACTATAAAGTCTCCTCAAATACAACCGAAAGATAGCTGAAAATATCGAAAATACTACACCCTCCGACAATATCTGGATAAACACCCAAAGTAACTGCTGACAACCGAGAGCTTGATCACGAAAGATTCAACCACATAGCCTATCTTTTAGCTCAACAAAGCCAATAAAAACTCTGACAACTACATACTCAGCTCGAGTGCAATCAGAATCGGACATTTCACAAAAGAACTACTAGCAGCATTAACAGAACAAGTTATGGACTAATCAAGAAAAACCTTCCACGCGCTGAAAACCAGAGTCATAAAACTCTTCAAAAACATATTCGACAGCTTTATTCCACAATCTTATAGATCTGGCCTAGTCACCCTTATACTGCAACCCAATTCCGCCAAAGCAAACTATAAACTATTTTTATTTTTGGCATTTCTTCAAATACACTCTATCTTATCTCAGTTTAAAATTATCACTTATGGCTATGAATTAAGGATTAGCTGGGCGGTATGGCAAATACACCAGGCTTGCGTTATTACTGAAATTTCGTTCTGTTTTTATTCAGGCTATACATTATAATAGTTGTAAATAACTAAATTTGTCGAAAGCAGAACTGTATCGCCATGAACTGTACAGCCATGCCTCATTTTTTCAGTTCCCAAACTAAAAACCCCAATATTAATAAATAATTAATATTGTAAGTGAGGCTCGCACATAAAGTAACTTTAAGTAACTATCCTAAACAAGGAAGTTAACGTCATCAACTGTCCATCTTTATTACAACTTAAATGCAGCCCCAAATCTTCAGAATTACGTCCTCTTATTGATTTCTTGTAGATCCATACTATGCGTCAAGAAATATCTCGAAAATGATTAAATTCACAATGAATACAAATGCAAACATGATTCTATGATTCCTATGATTCATACTAATTTAAATATATAAAATATAATCATGTAAAAAATATGTAAAACGCAAATATGTATATATGAAACTTGCCAAAGAGCTTAAATAAATATTTTAAATAAATTGCTTGTGTTGGTTCCCATTTATTTTCTGTGTGATCTCTATTTATCAAAAGGTCTATAGCATTAGTCGAACTGATTTTAGTTCTTTCAGTCAAGTATAATATATACCTATCGTTATCTATAGGATAAAGAGTTTTGCTGTATTGATAGGGAAAATAAAATCTATAATGTGCTTTTTAATAGCTTAAAAGTGGAAAAAAGTAAGAGCGGTTTGAAAATAGAAAAAAAAAAAAAAACATTGTAGTTTATTATCACAAGAAACATATGTACATATGGTGAAAATTAAACGATGAGGTATTTCCCTCATTTCCGATCATTCAATTAGCCTAATAAGATTCTGAGGAAGTGAAAGATTAAATTTGTTCTAGAAACAGTAGAACAGTTAAAGCTCTGCTCTAAATAAAGATGTACTTTATAGATTATGATATTTGAATATACTTACATCAATATATATGACTTGACTCATTATTGCTGTAAGGAATATTGAACGCAAAGTATTTTAACGCCTATTTATAATAGTCGTTGAAGATTATGCCCTGGACTCTACTAAATTGATTACAAATCAAGATTTTCGAATTCGCCATGCGTCAATGGTCGGATCATATAATTTATAATTGCAAAGCAAGTCTATCTTTATCCACAATTTTTATCAAATCATTAACCTTTTTTGAGTTTCTGRCTGGTATTGAATTGAATTGAATGAATAAGCCAATAATTATAGTAGTCGTCTTTTGATAAAAAATAGGAAAACAATGTGGCAATAAAGACTAAAAAAATATATTTTTGGAGCTGGACTTCTTAGCTCGTCGCACACCCTTTTTAGTCCTTCACTGCAAGATGGTTTTTAAATCGTAACACAGAACATAGAACCCAGAATAATGAAATGAAACAGTCTGATACCATAATGTATAAATCAACCAATTACTGTGTAGATTGAGAAGACTTTGCCTAAATGTGACGTGACGACGACCGACTCGATTTATTTTCAAATTTCAACTAATTATTAAGACTATAATTTCGTACAGCTAACGCTAGCCCTAAGGTCTAAAAGAGCTGACCGTGCGTTTCGCGCGTCACACGACGGCTCATTATGGCACAAATCATTTCCCGCAACACTGTTGCTGATTGAAGCTTGAGCTCCTGGTTCCGTTGTCCAATATCCGCCGACCTTGCAATATTAATGTGAGATATTTTCCTATGCTCTTTTTTTTTACCTATCGTCAGAACAGGAAAAGCAAACTTTATGGGTAAAGGTAAGATAAAGGCATTTGTAATTAATGATTATTTTTATTATTAAAAATGGGAAATCAGGATAAAATGGTTTTGTTGAAATGTATGTAACAGGCAAAAGGAGGCGTGGCAGACCCCACAAAGTATATATATTCTTGATCAGGGCGACGAGCTGAGTCGATTTGGCCCTGTCGGTCTGTCTGTCCGTCGATTTCAGAAGATATATGATCTAGACTTCAAATTTTTTTAAATGTCCGTAGTTACAGCGCGGATATCGAGTTTATCACCAAAAATTGATAACTCATCCCGTTATTTTTTTATCGATAAAAAACCTTATCGAAAATCATTTATAAAATTATATCTCCTACATCTTTGAAGCTACAGTCTCTAAATTTTGAATGTATTTTTATGCATTTTATACAATTTCAGTTTTTGTTAAAATTTACGCCCCACCCCAATGTCCACCCCCTCACCGTCACCTTTGTAATAGGCATATTTCAAATACTAGAGACTTGTGATTTGGCAACAAAAGTTATTAAACAATTAAGTTCTGATAGTAAGCGCATACTGCAGCGTGTATGTGTTTGTGTATGTGTTTGAGTATGGGTCTGTGTATGTGTGTGTGTGTGTGTGTGTGTGTGTGTGTGTGTGTGCGTGTCTGCGTGTTTCTTGTGTAAGCTGAAGCAAAATTTATGGAAATAGCTATTGCTCGAAGGGTTCAGGGGATCTCGTAGTCGAGCAGTCTCGACTAGAGCTTTCTTACTCATTTTTTATTTAATTAATTTAAATATTTTCTGTAGGATCTTGATGTTAGTGGAGTGGAATTAATATGCATTATAAAAACAATCACTTGTTGGAAATCAATCGAGAAGGAAAGTGGGTTCAATGCCTGTAATATTGCATGACATTCCGGAGGAGTTTCGATATTGCACTCGATCCCTAGATGTCAACAGCTGTGCTATCTGAGCGCGGCCTGCCACCTTAGAATGGAAAAATCTCATAAAATTATCAATTTAGTCTATAAAGATTTTACAATATTAAACGACAAAAAACATGCTAAGTAGAAAACATGTTAAGTATATTGAGAGGTTTTTTATTAAACCTAATTTGACATAATCTTTGAATAAGTCACTGTAACTATGAAACTGTACGCAAGAAATTCGATGAAAGCATGTGAAATAAAACCAATCGTCAATTAGCTTAGAGCTGCCTGTAAATTACTAGAACTACTAACTATTGATCTAGAAAGTGGATTAGATGTAATGTGTTCTAAACATATTAAAAACTGATTTAAATGTAGACATTGACAACAATACTTAAATTGTTGTAAATGCCACTCGGTCACATTACCAAGGACTAATTGAAAAGTATCTATAATAATATCGTCTAATGCTAATAATCGTGAATGAATACCCTACGTGCCAATAAAGGTCTATCAGCAAGTAGCTCTAAAGTCTTATTCGGTTAAGGTTCATACGACAGTTAATACTATCTTCGATTTTTGAAGGCTCGTTTTGTACATTAAATATATCGCCGGATATTAAATTTATAAACATTCAGTTCCCTTTAAATTAAAAACCCAGAAAGCAGGATCCGAATCATTTGGGCTATTTAGAATTAGGATTGAATATTTTCATATTTTCTGAATATTTTCAGCTGAATAAAATATATTTTAAAAACACTAAAGTTTTGTATTTGTCTAAGTTTTTTTTTTCGTTTGATTTTGCAAGAATTTTATTGTTTTCTGTTTGGGTAAACTACTTTGGTTTTGAAACGACGTGTGGAAATTTCTTTTAATATTAAATAATTGAAATGAAAAGCTTAGCTACAATAAAAGTAAAATTTTACTTCCTGTTTAATGGGATCACTATTTTTACAATAATTTTGAAAATAATGACTCACTTGATATTGTTTAAAAAAATATAGCTTTTAAGTAACAATCGATAGTTAATTAATCAACAGTAATACTTAAACACAATCAAAGAAATAATAATAATACTATACATTTCAAAGTTTGTATGCCTGTTCCTGTAACCTTGGCAATTTTACAGGCGATCTCATTTTAATTTTAATTAATTAACTTAATTAATTAAATTAAATTAAATTAAATTTATTTTCTTCTGGTCTAAAAACTCTTTCAGTATTTTATATTTTTAACAATACAAATATTCTGATGATAGGACGTAATTAAATTTTGTTATTTATTTTATATAGCAATCTTTGGCTTCATATTAGAAAAATAATAATTTAAGCATATGAATATATTATGTAATTTGGTTCTAAGCATAATTAATAATAAAATATCAATTCAATTAGAAATTTTGGTAGCTCTTAAATATTTATTGGAATGGGTAAAATAAATCAAGAAAAAATATAAATCCAAGTCTAGTGGTGTATTAGTCTACAAGTTAGTTTTAATTTTTTTTAAATCGAACTTCAAAATAAATAAATATAATAAAAAGTGTAACTCGAGTAAGTTCAGCTTTGTTCAATTTTTGGCACCACTCTAAGCCTTACACTGTTTTTTTTTTTTTTTTTTTTTATTGAATACGAAATCATGTGTCTGAAGTTACCATACACGTATATATACAAGATATATATATACGTGTGTATATACATATACATGATACATGTTCTTAGAAGGCTGGGCATGTATGTATGTATGTATGTGGGTGTGCGTATGTATGTATACATTTGTTAAACGAACAGTTGCAATATAAGGGTTACTAGCTTACTTTCATGCAATTCTGATTATGATTCGAGCACCTCGAAGCTATCAGATATGCACATAAAAGCTTTGTATCAGCAGATCGCTTACCGTTGTATGGAAATATACACACACATAGAGAGAGAGAGACACCTTTAGATACGTACGTAGGTATCAGCGTATGTACATATTTACAATGGGACATACATATTTATGAATGTACTTGCGGGCATTCTGACTTCTCGGCACTTGAATAAAACGTAAGAAAGAAAGTGCTTTGAAAAGCAAATATTCTTCGATCGCGAGGCAAGAACATTGCTCGTCGTTGCTGGTGCTTAATATATAAGAAAAAAAAAGAACTAGAAAATCGTGGAGCGTTTTCAGTTTAGTTTAAAATAAAATACGAATTATTTAATTATTATTAAAAACAAATTGTTATTGAAATTAAACCAAAGACGTCGTATTAGAAGTAAAAATGTTTTTCCTAATATTCTATGCCATAACTGGAATATTCCTGGTAGCAACACTCACATCCTATGCTATAATCATTTTTAGCTGTCAGAAAAAAGCAAATCTCAGAATCGAGAACGAGAATTCCATAAAAGCTAAACGCAAACTTCTACAAGCACCTGGTCCACTTCCTTGGCCGATAATCGGAAATTTAGATATAATTGGACAGTTTAACAATCCGTTCCAAGGCTTTGGAGCATTGACAAAGCGCTATGGCGATATTTACAGTTTAACACTAGGACACACGCGCTGCCTTGTCGTCAATAACTTGGATTTAATAAAAGAGGTCCTTAACAAGAACGGAAAGTTCTTTGGTGGGAGACCAGAATTTCTGCGTTACCACAAACTTTTCGGAGGCGATCGCAATAACTGTGAGTATTTCTAATGAGTGTAATAAACTTATACATGCATTTGTCCCTTAAATGTGAAGTAATGAAATAAAAAATATATGCATAAATAAAATAGTAATCTTTTTTAAAAGTGCGAAAACGATGAAAAAGTACGAGTTAATTTAATAAACACTTGAAAAATTTTTCGAATTGAATATCAATTGCAGAATCTTTTTGCTCCTTTTAGACTGCGTTTTATAAGATAGTTCCATCTCAACAAGAATCGTGTTCTAGGATTCTGTCCGAAAATATAAAAAGCTTACAAAAGATTTTACAATGCCCATATTTCTTACTGGATTTCAATTTTTTTTTTCAAATTTTTTTTTTTTAATATGCGGTGTACATAGAATTGCACAATAATATATAGTAGGTATAGATGTTATTCATTATTATTTACTTTAAATGAAATATATGAATACTATTGTAAGAATAAAAATAAAAACTAGCATATTTACTAAAGCCCAAACAAGATTATTGTTGATCTTTAATAGAGCAAAGCTTGATATAAATAAATGGATTCGAAGTTATTTGCGACGTCTCATAGGTCTGAGGATTTTTAATAAGAAGTAGATCATCAGGGTACAAATACCTAAATGCCTATGCATCTTCCTATGAATACGAGAAAATAATTAAGACTGCCCGACTAGAAGATCTTCCGTATAGTAAAATATTTTAATACCGTTCTGCTATGTATAAATTGTTATTATTTAAAATGACAGTGATCGTTTAAAAATTTTATGTTTTTTTTTTTTTCACCTATTAAGACTGTTTTTTCCTCAAGTTAATAATATTTGTATTTTTTTGCAGCTCTTGCTCTTTGCGACTGGTCACAGTTGCAACAGAAACGCAGGAACTTAGCCCGACGACACTGTTCGCCGCGGTCGTCATCCTCGTATTTCGCAAAAATGTCCCGCATCGGATGTAATGAAATAACAAACTTACTGGATAACTTAAGAACATCTGTAGAGCCTGGTAAACCCTTCGATTTGAAGCTGGTTATACTTAAGGCATGCATGAATATGTTTAGTCAGTACATGTGCTCAATGCGCTTTGATTATGAGGACAAGGAATTTGAACAAGTCGTGCAGTTCTTTGATGAAATCTTTTGGGAAATAAACCAGGGACATCCATTAGATTTTTTGCCATGGCTATTGCCATTTTACAGCAAACACACGAAAAAAATATGCCACTGGTCCACCACAATTCGAAAATTTATTTTGGAACGAGTTATAAATAGAAGAGAAATTAATATCGATTTAGATGAACCCGATGTCGACTTTACAGATGCACTCCTGAAGAGTCTCATTGAAAATAAGAACGTGTCGCGCAATACGATTATCTTCATGCTGGAAGATTTTATTGGAGGTCACTCAGCGGTCGGAAACTTAGTCATGCTATGTCTCGCCTACATTGCCAAGGATCCTGAGATTGCGAAGAGAATTCAATGCGAAGTCGATTACGTGTCCAAAAACAGTCAAAGAAGTATTAATTTGCACGATATGGATAAAATGCCCTATACCATGGCCACAATATTCGAAGTCCTACGGTACTCGTCGTCTCCGATCGTACCCCATGTAGCCACCGAGGATTCGCAAATATCAGATTTTGGTGTTACTACAGGTACCATTGTTTTCATTAATAACTATGTGCTCAACATGAGCCCGAAATACTGGAAGGATCCCGATCAATTTCAACCCGAAAGGTTTTTGGAAGAGAGAACGAACACACCGTCAACTCCGCCTATATTTCATGGAAAGCGAAGGTGCTCCGAAGAATCCGATTCAGGTATTGAGTTCGAAAAGGACGCGAAAATATATAATTCATCTAATGAAAATCCACATACAAATAAACTTATTCAACAAGATACTACTAAAGTGGATTCCGGACCTATCAAATTGCAGCTTAAGAAAAATATTCCACACTTTTTGCCTTTTAGCATTGGCAAACGCACGTGCATAGGACAAAATTTGGTGCGCGGATTCGGATTCATTTTGCTGGCCAATATTTTACAAAACTATAATATCAATTGTAGTAATCTTGAGACGATAAAGATAAAGCCAGCGAGTGTAGCACTCCCTGCAACTTGCTTTCCATTAGTACTGACTCCAAGAGCATAATGTTCGAATTAATGATTATAAAAATGGTTGAAATGGTTGTATCACTAAATTATATTAAATATTAGATTCCAATTACGTAGCCTATGTAGATAGATATATCAGAAACTCAATATAATCAAACTTTATAATTGGATATATTGAACATTTTTTTTAATAATAACAATAAAACAATAATTTATTAAACACTCAAGTAATTCTCATAAATATATCATTAGTCGTTACACATAGTGACATCACGTATTTAGGCAACTACTACTATATATAAATAAATAATATCAATATTTATACTTTATCCATATACATATATATATTTGAAAAATGTCTGGAAAATTCAAGTCTCAATGATTAAAGAAAAATGGTTTATTATATGTATTATATTCTGTCTACATATTGAATCTCTAAGTACTCTTAACAAATATTCCATATTTTAGTTCCTTAAATCGTGTCCATGCGTAGATACTACAATAAGAGTTCTTCGAAAGACTGAAAACGTGTAATTATTTATGCTTTTAAGTATTTAATTAGTATACTAATAAAATGTATTGGAACCCTATCGCTTTTATATTGACCGTTCATTCAGTTTATCATAATTCACCATGAAACGTCCATTCGACTACAACTTTCGATTACGAAACATTTGTAATCTAGCAATGTACCATCTATTTTTTGATTCAGAGACTATTTCTTTTAAAATAGGTAACAAGATGGTATCATTCAAAATTCGGATCATATGAGCATATATGTATGCATATAGACTTTACGTGGATAATTCATGAGAAAAGCAGAAACCAAAATATAAGTATACACAAAATATGGCTCTGTTATATTTCACAGGTATCTTCATACTATATTAATATACCACACCAATTAGAGAACTTAGTAAAAACGACGATCAATCCTTGGTGTTTCAGCGTAAGATTCCAGTCTGAAACTTATTAATGTAGTATAAATCAACGGGTGGGTACGACAAAGTGACCTAGTTTATTGTACATTCAGTTTTGCAAATGAGATTGCGAGTGCTGATTTTTTTTTTGCATTTATTTTCTAGCTTTAAATAATTCCAACCCAATTAAAATCCTATCGTCATTGAAAGCTCGAGCCTATATAAAATAAAATACAATTATTTGCATCCTTCAGATGTACTTACTTTAGAAGCTAAAACCCTCATTTTGTGATAAATAAACGACGTTATTATCCTTTTTTATTTTTTTTTATTTTTAAAATTAACAAGATATTTATATAAAAATTAACTTCTTTTATTTCAACTCATCGACAAAAGCAGCCTGCAACTCAGCAATGTAATCATCGTCATCACTTTTACTAGGTTTTGATTCAATTGAAATATTTTCAGGTGTGCTATGTTTAGTATCGCTCGATACTTTCGTAGACTCTTTTGCACATATATTTTGGGTAAGTACAGGATTATTGATTCGTGGAGCATCCAAAACTTTTTCAAGAGGCTCTTTTACATAAGCTTTTGGCAGAATTACATGATTATTACTTGCTGGACTTTCCAAAGCATCTCCATCAATAACGACTTTCTTTTTTGGTGTATTATCTTTACATTTTGTGTTATCTTTACTTTCCGAAGACGTACGAATTCTTTTCGATACAGGGGCACTTGGCGTTTCTTCATTTAAATTGTCTATAGGAAGAACGGTAGTGGAAGGCACAGCCTCTTTTAGTTGTGTGTTTTCATTATTATCTGTAGATTGTTGAGTTTCAGATGCAATTTCGTAATTTGTATTTCCATTTATTTGTATTGTAGATGTACTCTGTTGATCGTCTTTCTTGAAAATTAAACTCTCCCTTTGAGGGTGTAATGTTTTTTCAACTGAAGCTATCATATTTTTACAACAAATTCGTATGTCAGAGTTTGGGTCTTTTTTGCTAGATTCTTCAATTATGGTCAAAACAATCTCCGACGGAGGAGGGCAGGGTATATTTCTCAATTTTATAAATGTAAATAAAGTTTTGTACAACTCAATGCGGCAGGTCCACTCGGTGTAAACGTTTTCCTTCCACGCACGCTTCTCATATATTTGAGCACTGTTTTCTAATATAGTGCTCAACATATTCTATAAATAATGTTCAAATAAATTAATTCAATTAAATTTATAATGTTAAATATTTATGAAGTATTAAATAATTAATTATAAAATAATTAAATATTCGATATTATAACCTCGAAAATATTTGGAAAGTCTAGCAAAATTACTTACTTCAACCTCACTTTTTCACTTTATATCGCTAATCTTTGTTTTTAATACAATGTAATAAGATTCATATTCGAAAATTGGCCCCATTTCGCAAAAGTTGAAATGGGAATTCCGTGTATAATATTAATTGAAATTTCAAAATCTATGGAACAGGTGGAAGGATTTTTGCAGACCCCATAAAGTTTTTGAGCCGCTATACCTTTGATATCTAAGCCCAACAGCATTTTTGCATAAATACAAATTATGAAGTATGGTGAAAAATTTCTGTACTGGGTCACGACTAGAGGTTTCTTCCACGTGATTTAAATAACGTGTACAAAAATATTCGCAATAAGTACAAATGCATTTTTTCTGTAGACGCTTGACAAACCCATAAATTATTTTTTAAAAAGCGATATGCAGATGAATATGTCTAGATCTAGATCGAAAGGTCCTCTCAGCTTTTACAATGTCAGGTTGTATACTCTCCTTGTGTAATACTATGCTTACCCTTAGAAGTTGTGGTTTCAAAAGGAAGCCAACTGAATCCAAAATTTGTTGCAGACATTGTAATGCTTGCTTACAAAGAAGTTCCTTGTTTTTATTAATTAGGAGTTCGCTTTGAAATGGTGATTCTGATGCTTCCGACATCGCAGTACGCTTCCTCTTAGATTTATTTTTTGATTGAGTTGCAGACTGCAGATCAAAAAATTATAATAAAACGCAATTGAAATCTTCATTATAATTACCACCAAATATATGTCTCTCCGACGGATTATCACATCCTCGAGTAAAATTTTTACAAGTCGTTCAGCAATTAGATCGCACCCGCTTCCCTCAGCAAAAGTAGTTAGCCATGATGTTGTTGCTTTGTAAACCTGAATTCGTAAATTACTACAAAAGATATAAACAAATGGTACATTAAGTGCCCTAACACAGGTATTGTATAGCTCAAAACAGCTGTTACCACATTTTATATTTTGATTTATCTAGCACGCATTAAAAATTAATTTTGCGCCGAAAATGTCTAATATACCATTTAAAAAAATTGTACTCACAATAACTGGACCGAAAGTCCTTCAGGCGTTGACCACATTGTTTTTTGTAACGAGTCCAATACAATGCTAGACATCAATCGAAAATGCGGTCTGAGGTGAGTGTGACAGCTGAAGATAGAAACAAATTGGTCAGTTTTTAGACTGGCTAAATAGAAAAATCTTTTAAAATTGCAAATTTATAAACTATTTATTAATAATCAAATCAATTTCAAGTGTAAAATATATCTAATAATAATATCTATTCACACCAAAACCTGCGGCTCTTACCGCCTAGATTACGCATCAAAAAAATGTTGGTGTATATATAATATAATGCACTAAAAGTAAAACTCAAATCTTCTCTTCCCCAATTACAGTAACGATTTTCTTTTTTCTTTTTTTGTAATTTTTAATAACTTACATGTTCATTAAAACTTCCAGCAGCTCCAATAGTTTTGTATGCATATGAGGTAGAAGATTCTCAAAGCACATGCTGTCAATGTTTTCACAATTTCCATAGTTCACTGTCAAGCCATGTTGAATAAGATCCAAAATTCTCTTTGCACAAATCATTTTTTTTGAAGGATACGGTTGGCTGTTAAAAAATTTAAACTATAATAAAAAAAAGAACAAGAAGTTCGTTTTATTCGGACATACCTTAACGCAATTTTAAGGAACTCGGTGAGATTGCAGAATCGTGTGCATACTTGAGCTGCTCTTTTAATTGGATCTCCTTCTAATTCCAAATGAAAATGTTTCAATTTATGGTTCTCAAAGTCCTTGGTATTATCTTTATATTTGGGAAATGCATCATTCAATAGCTCGTTGAGATTACATAGCAAGCCGAATTGGAATTCTTGCCATTGAACTTTGTCGTTGCTGTGGTTAGCATTGGTCGAATTTCCACGTACTTGTTGCAATTGTAACCAACAGTTTCCACTTTCATAGACAACTTCAGGGTTGCAGCTGTCCACTAATGTTAGAAGGTATCGCGTGACTGCAAGCTTCCCGGACTTACTGGGTCCTGGGTAGTACTTTAAGCATTGCTTTACGGCTTTCAGTGAAGCAATCGTACAGCATAAGGTTGTCTTATTATTCAGAAAAGAAAGACTTTCATAAACCTTTCCTAGACAATTTGACCCAAACCATTTCGCAGTTTCAGGTGCTACTTGTATTTGTATTACAAGTAAAGCTGTAAACACACGTAATTAATTACTTAATTTATGAAGTCACAGTAATTGCAGACTGGCGAAAGTGCATTAGTTATATTATGTAAAATTAGCTTTAAAAGCAGTAAATTAAAAATATTTGTGTTCCCTCTTTAATTTTTTCAGGTGATAAACAGTAGCAATATACGACAGTTTAGGTCAGAAGACAAGAGAAGAGCTCTTCACATGAGAACGGAAACAAACCAAATAAATTTTAATTTGTACTAGGTGGAGCCACCCACAAAGTAAATCTCTGTCATACTAAAATTTCTGACTGTTTTACTAGCACATAATTTACTTAAGGTCTTTACTTTTTTTTTTTTTAGGAATAAAAATGTTAAATGTATCTATGAAGAACTGGAGACAATAGCACCCTTTAATATATTCTTAAATGGTAGTCTATTTGAATAATAGTGCTAATTTTGAATTTAGCAACATGTCAAGCTTATTTTTTAAAACATATTGAATAATTTTTATAAAGTGTCTGAATCCTCATGACTGTTTATTAATCTATATTTTATATTATTGAGAAGTGAGACTGGCCATTTCTTGCATTTAAACCTAAATATCCACAAAACATGTTCGAACTAAATTAGTAAAGCTTCTTATCGATATACAAGAAGCCGGTAAATTTAATCTAAGCAGGTAGAGAAATACCAATGCTTAAGTTTTATAACTTACCCACAGCTTCGTAGATCAGTTCTCCATATAAACAAATTTCTTTACTATTGCAGGTTCTAATTATAATAGTTAACCAAACATTTCCCTTATCTTTCAAAATGTGACTTGGGCATTGATTCAGATATTTAATAAGGAATCGTAAACCGATGGATCGAGTATTCGTTTTGTACAGGAGGGCAGTGATTGATTGTGCTTGCGACTCAGTGCTCTAAGGAAGAACTATTAATATGATATGTTCTTTGATTGTGTTTGAACTTACGGCTCCATGAAGATTTTGATCAGCAACATTGAGGTAGACATTTCGGTCCTCTTGTCTTGCGTGAACAATTGTTTTGAATATATCACCGGCACGAAACATTTCTTAAAACATGTGCGTACTAGAGATGCGAAATCAAAAAACAGACCAAATATCGATTAATTTGGTGGAAATCGTATATTCGATAAAATGGTTTCTGAAATGTAGTTTATTTCTTAGCAGCCCTCCATAGATTTGAATAATGTATTTATAATAAATAACTTAAAATAGTTTGATTACCAATTAAAATCAATGATATAAGTATATAACTATCGTATTTTAAATAGTTTAAGTAAATGGTGTTTGTGAAGGGCTAAAGAAATATTATCGAAGTTTCTAAATATTCACATTTTTTATTTAAAATTCATGTATATTCCATAAATCTTTTTCAAATGCTACATATGATACATATGTTGGTATTAATTTTTATATCGTGAATTATATATGCCCACGCAGACTAGGGCTGCATGCTTTGCATTGGGCGACCATATTCGCGTATTTCATATGGTAATTTTAGTGTATTTATGTTATCGTCTCGTGACTCCCGTCAGCTGACATTTTATTTAAGTAAAAAAATTATAGGCTGTTTCAGTAAAATTTAACTTAAAGAAATAAAATGGCTTTGCATTCGGCTATTAAAGGAAAATTAATATCTGTCATTGGTGATGAGGTGAGCTTTTTAATGACATCCTTTAAAGCAACAGTAATAAAGTTGCTGTAGGTGCACCTAAAATAAAAAGCAAACAGTGTCGATAAAATCGATTTTTATTAACTTGTGTTAATAGATTTAATAAGTTGCATACACGTACGGCTTATCATAAATATGTAAAAGTGTATGCGTGCATTTGATATTAAAATAAACGTTAAATTATTTCCTTTAGGATACCTGCGTCGGTTTCCTTCTCGGAGGAGTTGGAGAAATAAACAAAAATCGCCATCCAAATTTCATGGTAGTCGACAAAAGTAAGTTATTTAATCATTTTAAATACCTTTTATTGCTATTGTATCCGCAACAACTTGATGTACTAAATGACATTTTCCGCATTTTAGTTCTAAAATTCTGATTCTGATTATATTTTAGGTATATTTATCCAGCTCGCTTGAATGAATATACATATAGAGAAACGCATATAAATATTTATATTTATAGATATAAAATTGCAACATACGAACTCGAGCGCCATAATTAATGACTATTATTTAGTAACTGATACTTGTATTTCCACGACTACACACTAGTTCCAGTGCTTAATTTTAATGGGGGCAAAATACTTCAACAAATTGTATTTCATGAAATCAATATACTAGTTTAACTTGTTGAATAAGTATTAAAACTTATTGGTCAAAAGTTTCCATGACCACCATTGTTTTAAGCACTGAATTGAAATTTACAGAAAGCTAAGAGATGTTTTGAATTACCTAACAGTGATCATAGCTTAAAATGTATATTTAATTATTATTATTAATTATTTATGAGAAAGCAAAAGCGACTCAGCTATAAGAAGGGAAACTCAAGCTAATGTTATATTCGTTTTCTTGCAAGTCGGATCTGAATTAATTATTGATAACCGTTCAGTACAGCCAGAATTCATGTAAACATCGCCCTTGTTTAATATTGTATGATTTCCTTTTTTTTTTATAGATACTGCGGTCAGCGAAATTGAAGATTGCTTTAAACGCTTTTTGAAGCGCGATGATATTGATATCATCCTGATAAATCAAACATATGCCGAACTTATTCGTCACGTCATCGATGCGCACACTTCTCCAGTACCAGCTGTTCTTGAAATCCCATCAAAAGATCATCCTTACGATGCCAGCAAGGACTCCATCTTACGACGTGCACGCGTAAGTTTCATTTAATTTCTTCATGTTTCCTGTTTAACCATTTGATTTCATTTCTAATTGACAGGGCATGTTCAATCCCGAAGATTTGGTGCGCTAAAGGAGTCACGTATTACAATTTATTTCTTTAATGTTGTTCAATGTTTTACAATACCTATAACAAAAAAACAAAAAAAAAATATTCATGTATGTTTTGTTAGTTGTACTCATTCCAATTTGAATAAAAGCTTATCCAAGCAAGTTTAAAATGTATTAAATATATTATATTACCGCACTAATTTTATGTAGCACTTTATTATATTCCATTAATAACTTCAGTGCTGTACAAATTTGGTTAAATATTCGGAGTCTATTGGAAGACGACGCCGTCAAATAAAAAAGATAATGTTTAATGTAATTAACTATGACTCCGCCACGGAAATCAACATAATTTATTTGCAAAATATATTTCAGTGAGAAGCATTTTTCCGTTGCCTTCGCCAAAAATAAATTTGTTGCCTTCCTAATAATAATATATTTTGTTTTTATATTGTAGTTTTTAATATATTTTTTATACAAAGACTTCTGTTGAATTGCATGAATTTTTCATACAGGCTGGCAGATAAGCAGACTGTCTCTTAGAGCTTATACTAGCCATAAAGGGATATCTGGACATCATTTATGAATGTAGTATATGCGTATAGGCAATATAAAAGGGATCCGGCCGGTGTGGATCCATTGGGTGTTTACTGAACGTGTTGCCATCAATTCTTATGCTGAACAACTTTTATGGATCAGAATTCTTTTTTAGCTCAGGATAAAATAGGAAATATTAAAAAAAAAACTGAATTGGTTTAGATATATTTTTTTTTTTTTTAATTCTTATAAAATTTCGAGGTAGATATTGAAATAATTTTCGTTAATTCTGTTTGCAGAACGAAAAAAAAATGGTTTAAGGGGTAAGCATAATCAAGGTCTAGTTAGGAACTTCGTTAATAATAAATTAATTGGAATGCAGATATTAGAAATATATTTTTGTATTCAAATGTATAATAAAACAGACTACCCGCATAAATAACGACTAAAACATAGGGTATAAAAATAGAATATTTTCTGCTTTGCTGATGCTCAATTATATAGCGCTTAAATTTTATTGACTTCACTCAAGCCAGTTATTAAACAAGGGCAACTATTCAAGCTGTCTGACGGAATCATATTCTTAACAAAATACGCGTATCATAATACTAATGTAAAACAAAAAAGATACAAAATCTTTACTAGTCGTATGTATCAATTATTACACGGTAATTCGATCCGATTGTTGCAAAGGAAATTTTCTGAACTCCCACAAAACTGTTGCTGAATTCACAGTTTAATTTGCTGCATTTTCCCAGCTGTAGTAGTGCGATTTGTATAATGCAAACATATGGTGCGCAGATTTCATTTACGGAGTTTTAGAGTGACAACGGAAGATCAACGTTGGTGTTGAGATACTACATTCATGCAGGCATACTTACTCACATTTGTACTCACAAAATTATATTTTCAATGCAATTTTTTCTGAAAGAGTCATCCAAGTACTAACACAGCAATCTTTAAAATTGCCCGAATAACTCAATTCAAAAGTTGTATGTTTGCCACACTTTAAGAACATATTTTCCATAGAGTTAGGCTCTTGGAGTACAGTCAACCCTAAATGCAGCATTAGATCGAAAGAGTACTTCGGGCGCGCAACATTAATTTCTGATACCGTACCCCCGAGTGGAGTACCCCAACTTGAAATTTATATAATGTTGACTTTGTTGATTTAATATAATCCTATAAAAAATTTAGGTTCTATTCTCCAAAAAACTAATCAATGTGCACAAGTCTGGTATTAAAACTGAGATACGAAACTGTATAAAATGAAGCAAAATCTGATAATCTTCAAGAATTAGGCAAATAAGTATTATTGCGTACATACATTATAAGCAATTTCAATGTCCTCATTTAAAATTTGAGTGTTAATGTCGAGAAATATTAGCTTGGGTCGTGTGTGAATAGAATTGTGTGCATGTGTAAGAATACTCCGACTTGTGTATTAATGTGAGCCTTGGAACATTTCGTGCTGGGATTGGGTAATTTGTCTTTTCTTTAAATTTTTTAAAAGGCGAAATCAGTAGTAAAGTTAAGAAAATGTATGTGAAATGTCGTTGCAAAATTATTTTTTATTGGTTGACGAACATAATGAACAGACTTTCATTCTTGTTGATTAGTCAATTTAGAGAATTTTTCCAAGAATTTGTTGTGTCCTGTTGTCTGCTGTTGAGTTCGTGCACGATTCGTGGTAGCCACTTAAGATTTTATCTCCATTTATTTTTAACATTTTATTTTTATACCCTGAACCCATTGAAAATGGGAAATCAGGGTATAATGGTTTTGTTAAAAGTATGTAACAGGCAGAAGGAGGCGTGGCAGACCCCAAAAAGTATATATATTCTTGATCAGGGCGACGAGCTGAGTTGATTTGGCCCTGTCCGTCTGTCTGTCCGTCCGTCCGTATGTATGAACGCGTCGATTTCAGAAGATATAAGAGCTAGAGACTTYWTTAAATGTCCGTAATTACAGCGCGCATATCAAGTTTATCATTAAAAATCGATAACTCATCCCGATCTTTTTTATCGATAAAAAACCTTATCGAAAACCAGTTATAAAATTATATCTTCTACACCYTTATTGCTAGAGTCTCCAAATTTTTAATGTATGCTTATATGCAATTTATACAATTTCGGTTTTTGTTAAAATTTACCCCCCACCCTTAAATTCACCCCCTCACCCTCACTTTTGTAAAAAGCGTATTTCAAATACTAGAGACTTGTGCTTTGGAATGTACACCCATATTCATCATATGATTACACTCTGAAAGTTTCATTAAGATCTTATGTCTACAAAAGAAATTATTTAACAAATAAATTCTCATAATATTGCCCACACTGCAGCGCAGCCCAAGCGCAGTCGCTGCTTACTGCGCAGTTAGCAGAGCGCAGGCTTATGCGTGCGTGTGGATGCATGTGTATGTATGTGTGCATAAAAGAAGTGCAGAATGATTAGAATATCAGCTTGGAGGGTTCAGGGTATCTCCTAGTCGAGCAGTCTCGACTGGAGCTTTCTTACTTGTTCATTATAGTTATGTGTTTATACTACATTGTGAACGATTACTTTTTAATGCCCCTCTTCAAGGTGCTTTTGGAAAAACAAACGATAGGTTCATCAAAACTAAAGTATTTCGGTTTACAAAATATCTATATGTGTGACTCTGACGTTATCTGCGATTATGAATTGCTGAATATTCTATACCGTTCTTAGTTTATTTCAGTTCAAAGGAGACCGCCATGCCGGTGCTGATTATTGTTGGCTAGCGGCCTGAGCGATGGTAGCTCCATTAACGTTACTGGACCCCAAGAGGTCAATGTCCGTACTGTAAGAGCTTGAACGATTTTGTAAGAAATGGAGATTTATTGGATTATATTTATAATTATTGGTATAAATATATGTTAATTATAATGTTGCTTGATGTTAATTTTTAAGCATGTGCATGTATGAATTTGTAAACAGAAATATTTAAATTGTATATGGAAATTAGTACTTTTTTAATCACTGTCTGTTCGTATTTCAAAAACTATAATTTGAATAATCTGCCTTTCATTATAACATTTCTATTGATCTATTTTGTGTGAAATCGGTGTTATGTTTCCGAACTGTTAGTCGATGCGATTTTTCTTTATTGAATTTGATCTTAATTAATCTTTTTATCCTTAGCACATAACGATTTTTCCTTTTCAATGTGCTCGTATCCGTCCTTGTAACTTTTACCGTGCTGCTTCGACATAAGTTTGTATAATTTACAATATAAATCCATGTCTATTGCTGGCTGTTGGGATTCACCTGCCCGTTAACAATTGGCAAAAAATATGGATGCGCCATAGCCTCGCGAGCTGTAAGACGATCCACGTGATCATAACGCAATAGCTTATCGAGAAAGTCTAATGCTTCTGGTGAAACCAGATGTTGATTATCAGAATGAACAAAACGTTCCCAACGCTTGCGGGAATGACGTTGTAAAATATCGTGAAATCGCGGATCTAAATCGATGTTGTACTTGTCAAGATACGCGTACAGTTCTTCGGTGCCCAGCACCTTGGCAATTCTAACGAGTTGATCATAGTTATCATGACCATGGAAGAATGGCTCCTTGCGAAAGATCATTGACGCCAACATACATCCCAGCGACCACATGTCCAGTGAATAATCGTACATTTGATAATCAACAAGAAGCTCGGGTCCTTTAAAGTAGCGCGAAGCCACTCTGACATTATACTCTTGACCCGGATGATAGAATTCAGCAAGTCCCCAATCAATGAGACGTAACTTTCTATTTTCATGATCTATCATTACGTTATGTGGCTTCACATCGCGATGCATTATGCCCATGCTATGGCAATAATCGAGTGCTTTAAGTAACTCAAACAGATAATAGCGAATCTCATAGTCTGTTAATGTTTGATACAGCTGTTTGAAGTCTGTATTGTTCACATGCTCGAAAATCAGTGCTGGGGTGCGGGACACTGGATCTTTGACAACGGCCAAGAGCGTTATTATGTTGGTGCCCCCACGCAAGTTTTCCAAAATCTTGATTTCGCGCTTAATCTTCTTTTTTTTAACTGGCTTCAATATTTTCACAACACATTTCTCAGTTGTCGTTATATTGATAGCCTCGAACACCTCGGAGTACTTGCCACGCCCCAACTTGCGGACCAATTGATAATCATCCTGGTTTCCCCAGTCGACAACGTAATTCTCATAATCCCAATATTCATCAGGCTTGTGAGCGTTGACGTCTGTGTAGACGCGAGCGGCGCTTGGTAATGTCATCTCCGCCGCCTTATTGTTCCTTTGACGATCCTCTTCCGAAAACGCTTCAGTTGTGAGTTCTTCAGAAGAGTCGGTTGTATTTGGATGGGTCCACGCAGCAAGGTTTATGTTATAAAACTGGCTGTAAAATAAATGTCAAATTAATACAAACGTCTAGTGCGATAGATATTATGTTCTCATAGAAACTACGAGGCAATCTATATATCTGCCCAAACATACCTGAGCTGAAGAGGTTGCTTGAGCTGATATTGAGGCGGCCCCCTATGGGACCTGCTAGATGTTGCAATTGAAAGCCTTTGTGTTAGGGGTATTTCTTTGCAGTGTGTAACAAAAATTTGTTGAGGCAGTCGACGTAATAAGCAAGAGAGAGCCAATTGACGGTGGACGGCGTTCACTTTACTTTGAATGTTGCACTAATTTATATAATATAGAAAGAGAATAAGTGTACGAAATGTGTATATGAGTGGATATTTTCTAAACAAATCAATTAACTTGGTTACATACATAACAGAATACATACATACATAAGCGTGATTCAATTTATAGATCGGTTTACGCACAAACGCACATTTTACATACGATTTCAATTATTTGCCAAAAATTTTTAGTGTATGTAGGTACGCGTGTATGCGTGTGTATATCTACATATGCAAATGTATATGTGTTTGTCTGTCGGAGACCACTATCCGGCACAATTAGCAATCCTTCTACTTTAAATAACTACTGTAAATGGAAAGGTATAAATAAATTTCATATTTACGCACTTCTATTGTATGTTGAAATAAAAAAGAGAGCCAATTTCGCGGTGTTCACAGAATGTTTTGTCAAAAAAAAAGAACCGCGGAATAATTGACATTGAGAATGGAGAGGCCACAATCAAACAGCAGAATACATTCGTATTGGTACAACAGTAAAGCCAAAGATGATTAGTATTTGTGACTTTAAAATATAATACTCACATATTTTATGTCAGACAGCGTGGATGACGTGAAAAATTCATTATTTTAGTCGGTGAACCGATAACACTGTTTGTTCATGGAACTAGTTCGGCCCGGATGGCCGTAATAGAAGCATCACATTCATATTTGTATGTTTGCACGTAAAGTCGATAATATTATCATAAATTAAAAAGTAGAGCGAATAAAAGATTTGTATTAATATATTTATTTTTTATTTAGTTACACATATCTGATATTATTAGAGAGATAAGTTAGCTATAAATTAGAATATAAATATTAGAGTTAATTTTATTATGAGAAACTTTAAATGAGTCGTCCATAAGTTAGATTCGATAGCTTTTCATAACTAGCAGAAATATACTTCATCTGTTTATAAAAAGAAACGAAGTAGGCAAACTAGCATCTATTATAAATAGCAAATTAGAAATTATGTATTTTCTAGGGATATGTACATAGGTAAAAACAGAATATGATGTGCTGACGACGAGCTGAGTCGATCTATCTGTTTTTGCTTGCCCGTTTCTCTGTCTGTCTATTGGTCGGTCTACTCATATGTATGAATACGTCGATCTCAAAGTATATAGAGAATGTCCTCACCCGCAGGCCAAAATTGTTTTTAATAATCGATAACTATATCCGTTTTAATGCAATTACGTTATCGAACCTCATATAACCGATACATGAAAATGAGTGCATTTTTATTAAATTGATAAACATTTAGGTTTTTAAGGTTTTTAAATTACGTGTTGAACATTTCTGCAAGGACCACTCAGAAGTTATTAAGTACAGCTTTTCGACAATATTTGCTGAATGCATTTTTCCAATGAAGTAGTGTTATTGGTAGAAGTGATATGTAATATCAAGGGATAAGAGGTTAACTGCTAACAGTATTGGATTTTTCGTGAGTATAAATGGTGAGGGGACTATATTTTTTTGAATTGAAAATTTATTTAGGTTGGCGATTGATACAAGTATAGTACCTTCCATTTTATTTTCTTTACCACTCGAGCTTTCTAACATATTTGTATACCCCGAACCTATTGAAAATGGGAAATATGCACATTTGACACATGTTACTATCATGTTCTGCAAGTTTGATAAAGATACTCCCAATAGAAGAATAGAAATAGAAGAGTTTTTCAAGAAAGCAGTCCTCGATATAGCGCAGTCTCTGTTAACTGTTGACATCGCAGTTAGCAGAGTGGGTGTTTTTGCATGCGAGTTTTTTCGTGCAATTATGTGAATGTGTTTTTGTATGCGTGTATAAGTGAAGCATAAAATGATTGGAAAATCATATCTTTACAGGGTTCAGGGGATCTTCTAGTTGTGCAGGCTCTACTGGCCTGCAAGCACTTTTACTTGTTTATAAATCTGTTTGTGATACACCGAAATGAAGAATCTATGTATGATTGAAAGTGTCGGGATAAATAATTAGTGCAATCGTTTTTAATCTTACACAGAAAATGTATTTCGTTAAAGATCGCTTAATAATTTTCTTCATTCTAAGATCAGTTCAGATCGCGCTAGAAATAATAGCGATTAGGATGTATTTAATGAGTCTTTATGATGTTCGCTCTCCTCGAAGGATCTTAAAAATTGGTCAGATTGTGATAAGTGTGTCACCAATATACTCTTTTTTTTTTTTTTTTTTTTTTTTAATTTCGAAAATATATAATTAAGAGTGGTAACAGTCAAAATTAAAAATTTTTATATTATTTAGAATCATCATTATCATGTTAATCATTTTCGTCAACTCCAATATGTATGCATAAAAAATGTTATATTTAGGTAAAATATATATTTTAAAAATTATAAGGTTAGAATTGTATCCATTCGTATTGCACCTGCGCATAAAGCATATGTAATATGAACTTTAACCCAGTAAATAAAACAATTTGTACTACAAAAAATTCTTGAATAAATGTTACATAATTAGGTTAATATCTAACATCATTTTTTTCTGTTTATTTAATTTTATAAGTAAATTGAATAAATATATAATTTTAAAAATCAGAGAAACAATCAAGAAACAAAATGTGTATGTGCGGTTTGTTAAACATTAAAATAAATATTTGTATATTATATATATA